GCTCCAAAATGGCCGCCGGACCAGTGAAAACATCGCTGGAGGGGTAAGTTTTGGCGCCTATTGGAACACATTAAACTAATGCGTTCCAATAGGCTTTTCCTGCCCCGTACAGCGATGTTTTCGCATAGCGAAGGTTAATCCGGAACGGATTAACCTCGCTATGCGGGGCACCACTGTACTAATATATGATTAATATCCATAGGATAAAAAAAATTTGAGGCAAGGATTAGAAAGTGTACTCGTTACCAGGAATGAAGATAAGTGTGAGTTTCAGTGGCTCCGACCACTCCACCTACAAGCATTCCAAGGCACATAAGGAAGTATGGGGCTGTAGGGAGGAAAGGAATCATGTATACACTGCCTTAGTTTGCTTCCGGGTTCCTTGGACTGGCAGATAGAAAGTATTTTGGACTCCTCTATTGATTTTTAAATGGTTACATTTGTGTAATTTTCCATTCCATGCAACTACAGTAATGCACTTGGGAGGCCAGACTTTATTAACAAACTGTTTTGCCTTGACCTACTTGTTTGTTTAAAATAAAGAGGACCCAAAACAGCTTACATTATTAAAAAACTATATTGAAAGCTAAAAGCAGCAAGTACACAAATATTATATCCTGTTGCTTAATGTAGTAAATTGCACAACAGTGGATCTGCTGAATCAGTGGGGAGTTGCTATGTCAATTTCTCCATAAGTTCCATTTATTTAACGGGGCCTACTCTAGGTGCAACGTACTTTAGTGTAGTAAGTAGCAACTAAAATAGGCCAATTTGAACCCATAAAACTAATGGAGTTCACTCACAAAATCCTCACTCTACTGCAACTTACTACACTAAGCAACAGGATTTCAGCCATTGAGAAATATTTACTTACTGAATCATTTCCAGCCTGATTTTTTTTTCAGCCGCCACAAAATCTCTGTAGCCTTCATATTGTTAACACCAATAGTATGCCATGTTCACTTACTCCAAATTACTTGCCTAGGACCCCAGTCTCATGTAGCTAGCATACGATGAAGACATTCAGGTGACTGTTCTAGTCCTGTGGCCACTTATGTGCCAGTTGTATTTAGATTGATATTGTGGCTGGCATGCTAAAGTAGATTATAAATTGTGGATCATCCATAATATTTAAAATACAATAGTAAATCTACAGGGGTAAGTGTATAAATTGTACATGTTCTCAACAAGGGATGTGTGCATTTCATGGGACTCAGTAAACCTTGGATAAATAATAATCAGTATTCTTAATTTTATGCAGATGCTGGCAGCCAGAATTTACTTAATTGTGACATCTGTGGAAGACATTTTACACAAGATGCACTGGTAAATTAAGGCCATTTAATGATGTGAATGTTTTTAAGTAACATAAAAGCAATATTAAGGTAAATTGATTAAAGAGGCTAAAAAAAATTAATCTTCAGCATGTTTCACTACATTCTATTGTGTTTAATAAGCTTACACCAAACTATATAGTTATGACTGCAGCTTCAGGTACTGATAGAAGTAACCTGGTGGCAATCTTAAACTAGATACATGAATGTATCTAGTTTAAACGCAAGCTTTCATAGATAGCAACCTTATTCATGGAATATTTAAGTAGAATTAGCAATAGACAAGTGCTTAAGGATGTTTATCATCATTGCCTCTTTGTGTTGTTTGAAAAAAAATGTCATTTCTGTAAGATGCAAGGTCTACGTATATCTCATCTATCTGCCTAATGCCTGTTTTTAAAAAGATTACAAATGCAAAAGAGCACTTATGACTCTCATGTACTGTATCAGATGAGTCATATATTCTTTATTTCATGTAAATGCATGTATATCTCTGGGGAATTTGGGTCAATTTATATTCTTGTATTTAGTGTCCTACAGTTGGACTCTAGATCAGCCATTCATAACCTTTTTTGACCATGGCCATAAACACACTATGAAAGAAATATAGGCCAAATCAGGATTGTATAAGTCACATAACAAACCTTATGAGGTGGTGTGTGAAGAACGGTTTCCAGTCTGTGGCCCCCTTCAAATGTCCCAGGGAGCTATGGCCCTCATTGAGAATGATTGCTGTAGGTGACTACACTGTCTTTTGTTAGATTTCTACATTGCTTTGAAAATGCCTTTAAATTGCTAGACAGAGGAACTAGCCCCTCCTATTTTTCAACAGTGCCACACTCCAATTCCTGGGATGTCTAAAATAAGAACATGCCTGGAAAAGAACTGGGTTCTCCTTGATGATTTGGGTATTAAGGCTGTAATCCTGAGCTCTTACAAAGGAATAAAACCCATTATAAACAGTGGGTGACCATTTCTAAATAAATTTGTAAATAAATTACACAAACTAAGCTATCATGTACGTAAATTAGGTAACTTAAAAAAATTGACTACTCAAGCAGATACTATTTTTCACTACTCATCTGAAGTGTAATTGCTAGATGCTCAAAGTTACAAGTTCTAAAAAAGTCCTTGGTTCAGTCCACCAAGATGACCTGGTTTCTACAGCATTCTTCCCACAGGGCAGTTTTTTCCAAGATATGTGGCCAGTACACAACTATAATGTAGGAACAAGCATTAGAACAAGAGAACACAAACATGATGAGAGAGTGTATGCTCCTCCTTTTCAAACATAAAACCATCCTGGAAAGACAAAAATTATATTAAATTAGAAGATTGGTATGGTGAAGTACAGGACATTGCATTAAATGATAAATTGACTATTGAACTCGAGATGAAAAGAGGGGAAATAAGTTCGAATATTTTATGCTATTTTGGGTAGATTTGTTGAATTTGTATTAGTGAAAGGAAAGGGGAAAGCCTCTAGACAATCTATACAATTTTGGAAAGGAAGTTTATAATAAAAATATTGTTCAATGGGTCCTGTGGGTATGGGGTGCATGGAAGAATTTAGTGTATAGCAAGCACTATTATTTGTGTATCTGTTTATAAATTTAAAAATTAAAAAGAAACAAATTTAAACCATCCTACAGAGGTAGCAAGACCATATTCCTCAGCCTTTTAAGGTTTTGCTCAAGCCATACACTGTATCACATACCACAGCCAAGTAACCATAGCTGGCTCCCAAAATTAGCATTTGAGCACTACAGTACAATGTATTAAGCAGATCAGATCAGGATACTTTTCCCCTTTCTAATTGCACACAGCCCTGGATCTAGAGCAATGATTCCTAACTTTGGATCTACTGTACAGATGTTCTTGGATAATACTCCCAGAAGCCTTCACCACTAGCTTTGCTGGCCAGGATTTTTGGGAGTTGTAGTTCAAGAACATCTGGGGGACGCAAGGTTGGGAAGGACTGATCTAGAGCTTAGTATAAAATAATGTGTATGTTGCCATGCTACTCCCTTGCTCTTTTCTGTCTTAGGCAAGACACGAGCCAATATGCAGGAAAGTCTTCCAAAAAAAGCGCAAGCCATTCAATTCCTTGAAACAACGACTTCAGGGAACTGACATTCCAACCGTCAAGAGAAAGCCACCCCTAAAGGTATTTTTATTTATTTAAAATGTTTATAACTAGCCATTCTCCTCAAGGGGACTCAAGGCAGCTTGCAATGGTAAAAAGAAATCACATAAATACTGAAAGGTGGAAAAGGCAAAAAAAGCTCAAACAAACAATAAAACAAAACAAAACAAAACAAAAAACAGCAGCCCAACTCTCAGGCAGCTTATTGAGAAAAAAACCTGCCTGAAGAGAAACATATTTGCTGCCTGTGGAAGGGCAGCCAAAAGAGTCAGTCTGATCTCAGGTGGGACAGAGTTCCATAGATTGGGAGCAGCAACAAAGACCTCTCTCATCCTCACCAAGCATATCTGTGAGAGTGGGGTCCCGTGGCAATTTTAAAACCCCAGCCAGCTCATAAATGGAAATGAAACCTTCCAATTTTTTTAGGGCACTGCAGGTTAAACCGCTGAAGCCTCTGTGCTGCAAGGTGAGAAGACCTGCAGTCGTAAGATCGAATCCATGAGACGGAGTGAGCCCCTGTCACTTGTCCCATCTCCCGCCAACCTAGCAGTTCGAAAGCATGGAAAAATCAAAAAATGCGATTAGATAAATAGGTACCACCTCGATGGGAAGGTAAACAGCGTTCCGGGTCTAGTCATGCTGGCCACGTGACCACGGAGGATTGTCTTCGGACAAGTGCTAGCTCTATGAATTGGAAACAGAGATGAGCACCGCCGCCTAGAGTCGGACACGACTGAACAAAGTTGTCAAGGGGAACCTTTATCTTTAAGTCAAAACCAACACTATGAATTGTGCCCAGAAACAGATCAGCAGCTGAAAGAGCTGTTGTATTAGGGGAATTGTGTGATGCCTGTAACCAAATTCACTTAATCTGGCTTCAGCATTTGGGACCCATTTAAGTTTCCAAACACTTTCCAAAGATAGCCCCATGTAGTGTATTACAATAATCCAAACAGGATGTCAACTAAGGCACGTGTCGCCTTGACATCTCCAGGAACAGGCACAGCTGGTGCACCAGTTTTAACTGTACAAATGTACTACTGGCCACTGCCAAGACCTGAGCACCCAGGTTCAGGGACTAATCCAGGGGCACACCTGAAATACAAACCTGTGTTTTAAGGTGTGTGTGTGTGTGATCCCATCCAGCACAGGATGAAACCTTATTCTCTGATCTCTCTTTCAACTCACTAGGAGTACCTCTGTCTCCTCTGGATTAAATTTCAGTTTATTCATCCTCCTCCAATCTGTTACTGCCACCAAACAGTGATTTAGAAGCAAAATAACTGCCTTGGAATTATATGGAAAAGAAAGAAAAGAGCTGGAAGGTATCTGCAAACTGATGATTTTGAACAAAACAAAAAACCCAGAAAAGGCAAAAAAAGTGTGTTATTTATATACAGTCATGACACCCTTGCAATTCTGTCAGAAAAAAAACACAACACAAAAAACAGAGAAGTTAAATCCAATACAATCCCACACAGAAACCCAAAAATGCACTGTTTTTTGTGTTGTTCCAATGCAAACCAAAGAAATGAACATGTGAGTACCAAAACATTTGCAACTGCAACAATTTTCTGAGAGAAGGGTTGCATTTTCTGACAGAATTGCAAGGGTGCCAATATTTTTGCCCATCATGCTTAAAGTTCTCTGCATGGTTTGCAATTTAATTATGCAGGCTGTACAATGCACACCGAACCATGAGCTAGCTACTCAGTTTACTGACCCGTGAAGAAGGGAAGGTTAAGTCAACCTCAAGCTGGCTACCTGAGTCCAGGATCAAACTCAGGTCATGATCAGAGTCTTCACTACAGTATTGCAGTGGAACTACCTGTGCAATGAGGTTCCATGTGGTTTCATGCAAACGTTAAATAGCACTGGGGACTAAACAGGATACTGAGGGACCCCACAGCCAGGGAGCTGAACAGCATCATCTTCTGAGCTCTCTCCTTCAAGGACCAGAGCCACTGTAGAACAATGCCTCTGAGTCTCATCTCAGAGAGATGACCCAGAAGGATACCATGGTTGATGGTATCAAAATGTTAATTATAGATTTTAATTTTAAAAATTGCAGGAAAAAACTAAAATTTGAATGAGAAAAATTTTGTAGCATCAAAAATGTATTGTACTGTCCAAACAGTGTGTAAAGAAATCACATCACTTAGTACGTTCTACTCCAGAGGAGGGAGCTATTATAACACGGGAAAGTTAGAGTCCCAGGTCAGAATATTTTGGCTAAGTATAAGATCAAAAGGTATATAAGCAATAAATTTCTACTATGTTTATGGAACATCTCAAAGAATACAAGAACCTTTTTACAAACAAGGGTCAAAAATCTCTGCTTGGAGCAGGTGAGATTTATATGTGATGTGATTTGATTACTATGATTTTGCCATGCTCAATTTTGTTTTTACAAATAATATGTATTGCAATAGAAATTTTAAGGTGACTTGTATGAGAGTTTATGTACTTCATTTTTACTAAACAATAGCCTTTTAAAACTAATTACAGTGGTGCCTCGCTTAACGGGCGCCCCGTTTAACAACGAATCCGCATAGTGATGAATTTTTTGCGATCGCTTTTGCGATTGCATTGCAATAGTTTAGATAGGAAAAAATCGCTTTGCGATGATTGGTACCCTGTTTCGCATAGCGATGATTTTCCAACAGCTGATCGGCGGTTCCAAAATGGCTGGCAGGTTAAAAAAATGGCCACCCGCTGTGTTTTCGCCCGGATTCCTCGCTTACCGGGCAGTGAAAATGGCTGCCGTATGGAGGATTTTCGCTTAAAGGTGAGTTTTAAGCCCATAGAAACGCATTGAATGGGTTTCAATGCATTCCTATGGGCTTTTAAAAAACGTATAGCGACGAAATTGCTTTTCAGCGATTTTTGCTGCACGGATTATCGTCTCTATGCGGGGCACCACTGTACTCTTTATATTTTATCCTTTGAATTACTGAAGTTTTATGCTATTTGGATAGAAATTAATATTTTAAGTAAGTCCTACATTTTTATAGATTACAATTGCTATTTGCATATAAAAACTAGAAAGTTTTTTCATTAGAGCAGATCCTCACCCCTGGTCCATAGCCTGGTGTCAGTCTGTGGACTTGCCAGAACTGGGCCGTGGATATGGATCTCTGCACCCACATGCTCACAGGGGGTGCCGTGCATGCATGCGAGCGCGACACCCTCCGTGAGTGTAACACGCCCCCACAAGCACGACATGCCCCCCTGCACTCGCACCCCCTGCACATGGAGCTCGCTCTCCCCAGCCGGTCCGCGGACTCAAAAAGGTTGGGACCACTGCATTAGAGGACTATGAATTTTACAAAATACACTCATTTAATTTTTTATATTCCCCAAGTATATATTTTACATTTTTGGCTCTTATTTACACTCTTGCTTGATAAATACATCTTTTAAAGAAGAAACAGATTCATTTTTGAATTTTTAAATCAAGATTTTGAAGGGTGTCCAGGAAGAATTGAATGACTATATGGCAAGGTACAAACTCTTCTGTGACCACAATTAAATTCCTTATCAGATATCTATCAAAACACACATCTATAAGTTTCTCATAAAAAGTATGTAGATCAGGAGCTCTGTGAAGGCACTCATATATTCCTACATGAAATATGACAAAAAGCTGCTGAAAGCTCCAGCAGAACCAACAGAAATGAACTCCCCCTATCCAGTACCTGGTATACTGTAGATGATCCACCAAGGATCAAATCTAATATTACATGAACAGTGATGCCTCTATTTGGAGGAAGAAAGGGATATGTGAATGTTTTCCACAGAAAGGAGCTCCTCTAATACAGAGGACAGAACATTTCTATGGTTGTTAATCTCCTGGAATTCTGCTTCATTGTCATTGTTTGGTAAGAAGTTGTATGTGAAACTTTTTCCTCTGTACTCTGCCCTCTGACTCTTCTGCATTAACATGAGAATGGTGCTGTTAGAAGGAATAGCTTTTGCAATCATCTCTATTTGGCTTATATATACAACTCCTTGAAACTGGTCTTTCCTGATGGACAAAGACACATTTTAGGGGCTTGTGACACTTGTTTCAAAAAAAGAAGTAAACATTTGTTGTTGTTGTTGTTGTTTAGTCATTAAGTCATGTCTGACTCTTCGTGACACCATGGACCAGAGCACGCCAGGCCTCCTGTCTTCCACTGCCTCCCAGAGTTGGGTCAAATTCATGTTGGTCACTTTTATGACACTGTCCAACCGTCTCGTCCTGTCGTCCCCTTCTCCTCTTGCCTTCACACTTTCCCAACATTAGGGTCTTTTCCAGGGAGTCTTCTCTTCTCATGGGAAAGTAAACATTAGGCACATTCTTTTCCATTAGGCACATTGAGGTATAGTGATTAGAATGCTGATTTAGGATTCAGAACATGGGGGTTCAAATTGCTACTTGTCCATAAAGTAGGAAGGATAAAAGATACAAGGAAGGAAGAATGCAATTCCTAGCCCTCACGCATCCCGAACCTAGTGTACCCATCCATCTTCCAAGCCTCCTACCCACTGAGACCAATCAGGCTGCCTTTACCTTCCTAGTCCCATCAATTCCCCATCCAGGGAAGATAAAATGCAATTATTTTTAAAATAAATTTGATTTAAACAATGGTTTCAATTTAAAATCAATTTTTGATTTAAATTATCAAAAAAAAAAATCAAATCCACCCTATACCTATCCCTCCCTCCCACTTATCTATCTGGAAATAGTGTTACAAGTAAACATAGGGAATTGATTCCTTATAACAACATCATCATCAATAGTAATACTTTTATTATGATAATGATTCAAAAAACACCAGGCACAGTCAAAATTACAAAAACACTGACTGGTATTCTATAACAGATACAAGTTATAACCAAAAACCTAAGTATCTGTTAAATATTGCCGCAGTATGTATGCTGTGTTTAATATTGCCATTTTTTTGTAGCTCTGATAGTGTGATTTCTGAGATTTGCAACTGCTTATAGTACTGTGTGAATTTCTTGATATTGTTCCCAAAGCCCCAGTGACTACAGGGATCACTGAAGTGTATTTCTTCCAGAGGTCAGATGTTTCGATTGCCAGGTCTCTGTACTTTGTTAGTTTTCCCAATTTTTAATTTTCAACTCTGGCATCCCTTGGAATTGCAATGTCAATGATCCAGACATTTCTTTGTTCTATTACCACTATGTCTGGTGTGTTATGTTCAAGGTCTATCCATTTGGATCCAGAAATCCCAAAAGATCTTCACTTCCTCATTTTCTAACATCTTATTGTATCTTAAAAGTCTATTTCAAAATAATTTTAAAATGTGTTATTAAAATGTATCATCTGACTGATTAAAACAATAGATTTTGTGCTGATTCAAATACTTCCTTTTCAGAACCCACCAGAAAAAAAATCTAACTGGAGACAGCAGCATGAAAATTTCATTAATACAATCAGAGCAGCCAAACTTGCTACTATAGCCATGAAAGAAGGTCGCCCCTTGCCTCCACCCCCACCTCCAAACATTAATCCAGGTAATTTATTGGTATTAGGTCTCTTCATTCAAAAATAGAACATGTCTGAACCAGTGAAAACTAAAGTTGGGAGATACAGTTGGATTTTTTCTTGTAACACAGTTGCTAGTCTTGTACAAGACTTAGTCTTTTCTCTCTGTCTCATTTGGGGAAATGCAGTAATCCAGGATCACTTGGATTGTTGTGAATACAAATAAGATTAAAAGGATATTATAGCCCAAGCAAAACATTACTTAAGCATATCACCATCAGTCTTTACAATCCAAGATTCAAACTAAGCTAAGCTCCTCTTGATAAAATAGATCTCATTTAAGTTTCATTAAGTGCATACTGAAGAGAAAGACAACATCCTTTTTAAGGTACCCAATTGCTTTGTCAGGCAAACCAGAAAGACAAAAAAAAGGGTGCATGTTTTTTCTTCAGTACACAAAACATTCAGAAAGGGAAAGATAAAGGAAGCTGGGAGGAGGATGGATTTCATATTGTCTGCATGTTGTCTTAGGCTGCATTGGAGAAGGGACACTGTAGACAAAAGGCCAGTATCCGACTGAGCTTCTGCCAAATGTATTGTACTGTTTGGACAAGCACTGCCACTGTGCAAGTGGAGGGTGGTTTTCTTCATGACACATCACTGCTTGCCCAGGTGAATTGATCTCATTTATTGCAATGATGGCAAGACACTGCATTCAATAGAAACTCATATGGAGAGTGGCCAGAAAAAGGGGCTTCGTCAGGTGATGATGAATTTTGAAGAGATATGTGAATGACCTGAAAGAGGGCTAAAAAGGAACTAAACTTACTGTATTTATGCAATAATCATGGCATTTACTTTTCTCTTAATATGCTGGATACCCAAAATCTATTATTGATTTTCATTAAATAAAAAGTCTGGAGTTAAGGCCATTAAAAGCAGATCAATTTTAGGAATCTGAAGAAATTTATTTATTTATTTATTTATTTGATTTATACCCCGCCTATCTGGTCTATGGAAGGAGAAACTTAATTGTTCTGTCACCACCCTCACATATTGATGCTCCAACTAGACTGGTGTTTATCTGTTTCACACCAGGCTAATTATTTACGATACACCTTAAAAAGAGGAAAAAGGAATTCCTGGACTGCTTTTCCTCACTTACACATTTATTCGTCAAGGGAACACAGCTTGGAATCCCTGTCAAACAAGGGATAAGTGCAAGAAAATTCTAATGGATAAAAAGGATTTTTTTTAATTGTTATTTTGTTTGTCCTGTTTTATTTTTTCAGTCCAGCTATATGCTGGCAATGATAAGCATAACTTTGATATAACATATATTTTAAAAAGAAGAAAGATCCCTTGCCCCATCCCAAGTATATGCAGTAGAAACGAAAATCGTTCAAAGGCTCTCAAGGTTAAATTTCACATACACACACCATACCTACAAAACAACCTTCTGGAAGCAAAGGGCACTTTGATTTCAAAAAGGATCCTTCAGTGGTTGTAACTGAACTAGGAACACTTCAGAATAATGTGGACTAGAACATCCGGAGCTGAACAGGACCTTGGCCATAGAGTTAAGCTATTCTATATACACTAAGTAGGGCACCGCACAATATAATCTATAAATACAAATATGTCAATCTTGCCAATCTCTGGAATAGGAAAATGATACCGGACATTGATATTGTTGCTCAGAAATACCAATTTTACTGGTAAACTTTACTTCCTTTGCAAAAGTTTAAATTCTGTTTTTTGTCTAGAAAACCCTGAGCAGTTTGGGCCCAGATTATTTCAAGGACATTATTTTCCCATATGACCATGCCACACAGTGCATTTCAGTAGCGGAAGCCCTGCTATGCAGTCCAGCACTTTCACAATAATCAGTGGCTGGACTGCAAACCTGAATCTCGTATCTGGTTTTTGAACCTTCTCCCAGAGAAATCTGAAGATCTGTCACATTACTTTGCTAATATTACTGCCCAAGTATAATGCAAGCTGTCAATTTAACAACTACTGTTCATATGCTCTGTTCAGACTACATTCAGTGTCCTTACTGCATGAGAAGGTTTAATGAGACTGCTGCAGAAAGACACATCAATTTCTGCAAAGAACAAGCAGCCAGGCGTGCCTTTGCTCCAGGCCAGAAAGGAACCAAAATGCCCACTGTAAGTAAATTGGTTGTACTCTAGCTAATTAGTTTTCAGCTCTTCATCCTATTCCTTCTTGCAAGAACACTCTACAAGTCAATAGTATAAAAAGAACACCTGAGGAAGCAACAACATAAAAATAGGGTAAACTTTGACCAAAGTAAATCATTTGATGCTTTTTCCATTCTATCTCTTTCAAAAGAGAAGTAATGGCCAATGCCATTACTGGAAAGTAAATGTCCTCTTTTTAAAAGTAGCAAGATTTGCTACTATCAAACGACTTAAAACCATATTCCTTCAGTTGAGTAACAATTTGATAGCTCTTTACAAATATATACAACTTCTGTTGTTATTTCTGATGTACTAAAATTCTACCATATAGCCTTTGGGAATTTCTTATGCATCCCCAAATTGGTTGCAGGTGGGTCATTGCATCTCATATTATTTGGAAATAAAGTACTATCTCAGAAGTTATGGAATATTTCCTCTACAAGTCTTGTAAACTATAAACATGATAAGAATGCTTTTGTCTAATGACATCTGCAGCGTTGCTGGGAACTTGGTTTTTTATAGCACTGTTTGGAAAATCTTTCCCACAAACACTGCATCTATTTCGAATCAATCTGTTTTTTTTAAGTTCTTTAAAAAAAGAAAAGGATAAATTGACATGGGTAAAAATGTTGCTGAGGAGTATCTTTGTATTTTGTCATCTCTATAGCAGCTAGCAGAACTTCCCCAGCTGCCCATAATTCTACAAAAGTCTAAGGGAAGCTGTCATAAAGTAGTTCCTCTTATAGCCTTTTTTCGGATTAAGAAGTATAGGCAAAAAGGAAAGATGTGATGTGAAAAAAAAACCTCTCATTTTTGTTGATAGCTGTCTTTTTGCCCTTACCCTTACGTAATTGCCCTCAGGCAAATACATTGCCTTAAAATAATACCAGGCAGAGGACCTGAAACAAAACGGTGGCCAGGCTGCCAACACAGCTACTTCCAGCGTTAAAGAAAAAAAGAAAAAAGAAGAAGTAGAAAAAGATAACCACAGTTAATTGTGAGAACTCTTCCCTGGGAGAAATTTGGTAAAATGTTATTGTCTTCCCCCTCCCCCTCCCATTTTGCTTCTCATATACAGGTTGGAGAATTTTGAAAAGCCATCTGTGTACAATAATAGTTTTTCAAACTACAGTATTTATATTTTATCTCTGCAAACCTAGGGGCAGTCTTGGACATTTGCTTCTATGGTGGGGTGTGCTCCTTTCCACATTTAGCCACATGGCATGGCCCATTATTGGGTTCAGCCATGCCATCAACCTGCTCCTTTAGTCCTTGGGTTAAAGGATTTCTCCACAAGAAATTTCAAGAACTCATTGCTTGCCTGAGTCAGAAACAAAGGAGTTTTAATGATATTCTGGCTAAAATGCAGTCCAGTTGAGAACTAGTATGAACAATGTGTGGTCATCCACAAACATCACTAGGGATCATTATATTGTAACCCTCAGTCTACCAAAAAACAAAACCAGACTTAATCTTAGGATAAAATAAGCCAAACATATGTATATCTCCTCAAACTCTTTGGAGACAAATGTGATAGATATGCTAAACTGTATTTGTAACAAATCTGGTTTTCTGTTTAATATCCTCCAGGGAAAACAAGCAACTTCCAAAAAAGAACCAACCTTAACAAGTGCTGTAGGAACACTGCTTCAGAACAGGTCACAGGAAATCAGCAATTCAAGTCACGCTGTAACAGGTAAGGATCAAAGTGTTTCCTGCCCCCATATACTTAGCAATACTGAAGAAATTAATTTCACCTCATCTACAGATCTGATATTATTTGCATCATTCGTATCACATTCAAGTAGCTTCACCTAAGGTTGTTTAATTCTTATAACAACTTTATAGAAAAAAATCTAGGTTTTTTGCTTTTGATTCTCAAACAGCTGCTTATTACATGCTAGAATAATGTGATCACATACAGACCATACAGACTACTGTGTGGCTTTCTATATATTTTGTTTGTATAATCATGTATACTACACTTTGATTGATATGCAATATAATTTTATTTTGAAGCTATCCATTAATGGGGTATCAATAAGTATAGGATCATTAGTATGTACAATACTGGTTTTAAGTGAAATTAGTTCTTTTATCTTGCTTTGTATTTTAAACAGGGCCATAAAGTCACATGCTTTATGGCTTTACCAAATTATTATTATTTTTAAGGTCATGCTGTAGAAATATCTGTTGGAACAAGACATCAAAAAGCAGCTGGCTCTGGAAAAGAGACTGGGTAAGGAATATTAATTAAGTAAATGTAAAAAGCTACAATCCAGAGCTATGCCCATGGATTTGAATGGGCTTATTACGCTCAATTAGATATTCAGGGTGTTGTAGTGGACAGACTGATTGATGAGCACCTGAGTTTTAATTCTACTTGGTCCTACAAGCTCACCAGGAGTGTGTACGGCACTGATAAAAACATTCAAATATCTCACTTGCCTTGAAAACTTTATTTTGATCACTATGAGTCAATTCCAACCTGGTAACACATAATGCAGATACAAAGCCCATTAAATTTTGTATTGCAGTGTGGCCATGAAGCATAATAGCTAGCTATTCATTCAAGAGTCATTAATAGTAATACTGTATTTCCCTGAAAATAAGACAGGGTCTTATATTATAATTTTTGCTCCGAAAAACACATTAGGGTTTATTTTCAGGGGATGTTTTATTTTACAGTCATGTCATCTTCTTCTGGTTGCTGAACAACACAGCACAATGGTGGAGGACGGGGTTTCACTTAACGAGCTTATTTTGGGCGTATGGATTAGAAGCATCCTGAAAAATTATACTAGGGCTTATTTTCAGGGTAGGTCTTATTTTTAGGGAAACAGGTTAACATTCTAGAAAAGCAGGTTTATCTTAGTATTCTGCTCTTCTAAGGCAGTAACTCAAGTGTTGGGTTTGTATTTGGTGACATAACAATGGAATTTGCACTCACTTATACAAACTACTGACTTCTTGAAATTTTTAACAGCTTCCAGGTCAAACTTGGTAAATAAAACTGACATAGATACGGTTAATACAAAGATTTTGAATCTATATTGTGTGGATTCTTCATCTGCTTCATCCAGAGAATCAATTCTATAATCAGATTTGCCTCAGGAATGTAACACGTGTTGTTGCTGGGTTGTTGTTTTTAAACCTTACCCATCCATTTTTGGGACAGTAATGATTCTCTCCTCCCGCCCTCACATCTCAGTTTTAAAGGCCTTCCTAACCAACTGAAATACTCGTAACACAGCTTTCCTCAACCTGGTGGCCTCTGATATTCTGAACTGCTGTTTCTCTCTGCACCTCTGAGTTCAGTATGCACATGGGACCATGCTGGATGTTCATTTTAGCCTATGAGCACCTTGGATCCAAAGTCCTTTCTTCTTTTTATCTCTTACCTATTTCATATTACTAAATATTCTTTTTAATAGGATTGCAGCTGCTTTTTGCCATCTGGCACATTGCTTTAAAAAGGGCATCTCTGCAAGAGGCTGGATGCACAAACATAGCACACTGAAAGACTCAAACCAAAAGTTGGTCTGGCTTCCAATACTGTAATGTTACAGTCTGAAATAAGACTATTCCCACAGATTTTTTTTTCAGATGTGTATCCTTATTTGAAGGCCAACTTTATAGTTATACTGTACAGACTAAAATGTATTATATTTTTTTAAAAGCTTGTAGTTGACATATAGCAGAATTCTGAATACTGTACATTTACTCAGGGAGAAGCTTACTTCCTGGCCTGTATGTTTAGAACTCCTGGCACACACACTTTTTATATCAGCTGCTTTATTTTAGAGTCTACCTAAACTAATGCTTTACTTCTTTCAGAGTTTCATCACAGGACAGAAGATAAGGTGGATTATTTGACAGACCCCACTGCTTCTAAATATAGGCTTTAACATTTTAACACCATTGCAACTAGAGGAGCCCAGGAAATATTCAGTCTCCTGTCTCTCATATGATGGATCTAAGTATGTGATAATAAAACAAACAAGATCATATTTCTGGAAGTTAACTTTGTTTTTCCAACTGATAATCTTGTACAGGTTAAAGTGTTATTCACTGCACTTATATTTTTCTATTTGTTCACCATTTAAACATTTTTGTTTGTCATTTCTAATCAGTCTACTCATTAGCTATACTGTACATAATACAGTATTTGCCTTTAGAAAAATAAGAATTCAGTAGGATGACTAAACTTAGAAATCAGTGCATGAAGCTCAGGACAGACACAGATTACTAAACGGGCTGCTCAGTTTAAGAACTGTTTACAGCAAAAACCTACAGCAGAAAGTTCGTAATTTTCTAATCTCGTGAACCTACTATATACCACCTCATGTAATGTGTTATGAATTGTCGGTTCCGGTAACGCTTTTTCAAACCAACCAACACAAACAGTTTAGAAAATACTCCGCCCATCATTTATTAGACAAAGACACTAAAACTTTCAAAAAAAACAATCGCCGGGAAAGTCGCCCTCACGAGTCCTGAAAGCAAGCGTCGTCAGCGCCTCCGCTTCCATCGGGGAGCCAAAGCAGCGTCCAAAGAGGCCGCCCAGGGTTTCCACAGTTCACCTCGGGATAGAAAAAGCCGATGAAGTCCACAACACACACACACACCCCTCTCTGCTGGGAAGGCCCCAGAGAGTCGAAACCGAGTCCATCGTGGAGCAGAGATAGCAACTTGAAGGCCGGGCTCAGGCAGGGAACGGAGGGGCTGGTCGGCCACTCGCGGCGGCGGGGGAAGAGGGCCGGGGCAGCTGCGCTCCTTGGCCGCCAGGCCGGCTTCCTCCTCCTCCTCTCCTTTCCACCGACGAGGGGCGGCCAGGGGAAGCGCTCGGCCGCTTAAGCCTCGTCGGGCTTGTCGGCGGGCGGCCCGCACGGCTGCAGCATCTTCTCCATGAGGTTGAAGCGGACGCGGGCCTTGCTCTCGTTCTCGGCGATGGCGAAGTAGTTGAGGAGGTCGAAATGGCCCATGTAGGAGCAATAGGAGTCCCGGTGCTGGTTCACCAGCCACTCCCACTTGGTCGTGTCCGCGTGGCCCGTCCCGATATATTTGGACTGCAGGTGCTCCAGCTGGCTATGGATGGTGTAGCGGTCCGTCATGGCGGCGGCGGGAGGAGGGCGGTTATAGCAACGGCAGCGCAAGCCAGCAGGCCGGAAGACCACGCGCCGCCCGCCGAGAGAACAAATGATCCAGTTGGCTATGGATGGTGTAGCGGTCCGTCATGGCGGCGGCGGCGGGATGAGGAGGAGGGCGGTTATAGCAACGGCACCGCAAGCCAGCAGGCCGGAAGAGCACGCGCCGCCCGCCGAGAGAACAAACGGGCCCAGAGAAAAACGGAAGCTAACCTTCACAAACAGGCGCGCGCTTCCTCTTCCGGATGTACCCTTCACCGCCCGCGGACATTTCTAGGATTCCCATCTCGATTGGCTTAAGCTTCCGCAAAGCAAGGGCGGGCTGTATATATAAGACAGCCAATGATATTTCTCCTCCCGAAGCAGAAGGGCGGTTGCATTTGTCTTCCGTTCCTTATGACTCATTGGGGGAAGGGGAGAGTCGGAGGTACGCATGGCATGTCGGACGCTGTAGTTTTTCTTTAATCGGGGGGCACGCGAAGGCTTCGAAGTCACGGTGGTTTCTCAATAATTTATTTATTTATATGTCGCCTTTCTCCCCATAAGGGACCCAAGGCGGTTCACAAGAATAAAAACTAAGCACACAGGTTTAAAATGTTGTACAAAAACTATATGAAAAACAGTTAAATATTAGGCAGTATTAAAACCAAGATTTAAAATAATTTAACAAACATTTTTAAAATCTAAATGCGTGGAAGACTCATTCCCATTTATAGGTTTCATTAAATTTGTTTTGTTGGCTTTGCTTGTTCATCTTCCTCAGTCTGTGTGAGAATGGCAGAGGTCACTTGCATGCAGTGATAAGAAAAACATCACTATTTTTCTTATCACTGCATAAAGGTAAAGCGCTCTCTCTCTGTCTCTCTCTCTTACACAACATGAGTCACTGTGGTGTGGCTGATAGAGAACGAATCACAACTCACAAGATCTGAGTTCAAATCCATTCTTGGTCATGTTAAACCACTGCGTAAATATCTTACATACCAAGAAAATTATGTTCAGGTCGACATAAATTTAATGTTGGCTGATGGCATCTAATGGAATGCTTCACTGTGGCCAGGTAGATGATGTGAAGAAAAATAGTAAAAACATTGCTTTTTAAAGAATTATATACATGGGTAGAAAAAGAGAGTGTCTAAGCATGAACTGTGAATTCAGTCAGGCATTTGTCCCACCATCTGATCCACCTTCATACTTTTGGGTCCCTGTCAGGGGCTTCTACTTTTTAGCTGCAGGTAGGACCTCTGGAAACAAACCAAAGAGAGCTTGTGGCTGTCAATTTGCCAATATTGTGAGGTAGCTTAAGAAGAGAGCTTATTTGGAAATTAAACACTTTCTCTGCTCCATGGAGGGGCAGAGGACATTTTTAAAAAACCTACTGTGACAGTGCTGATGCACTGCATCATTTTTTAAAAAAAGAAAAAGAGGGGAAAATGTAACCTTTCTCTGGGGACAGGGTGGAGACAGTGTGGAGGTGGGTTTTTGACACAAAAACATACAGAGAAAACACACAAAATTTTGTTTTCTCTGCTCCTCCACAGAGCAGGAGGAGGAAACAAAAAAATTCTAACCAGTTAGGTCAGTGCTGACTTGCTGCATCATTTACAGAAAATTTTTAAAAGCCTGAAATCTTCCTAATATAGGCAGGAGGAGGCAGATTGTTTCTTTTTCTTTTAATATTATTAAAGGAGCCAAATAGGATTGTTTGAAGTGTGTATGACATTTGGATGCAGAGACTGCACCAAATGACCCCAAGCAACCCTATTTTGCCACATCAGCTTGCTCCAACTGACCCCATCTAGACAGACCCAGAGTCTCCTTATGAAATACCAGCAGGTCAGTCACACATATCAGTGTATAAAGGTTTTGTGACAGGCTTGGCCCTGTGTCTTCTCCCAATATTACATTATTCCCAGCTACCTAGAGGTTTAAAAATCACTTTGTGGTACTCAACTACTTGCATTTGAACAGGATGCTGGATTGCATTTTTCTGCAGTTAATCTGAATGGCCATTAGATGTCAGAATTACCCATGGTGTCTGGAAATGCAATAATTTGTATTGTTGATAAAATGCTGCAAAAGCCACTATGACAACAACTGGGCATTTCTAGAAGCAGTAGTTAATGTGAGGTCAGTAACTTGAAACTTTATCCTCACTGAGAAGCCTGTTGCATTATTCATTTGGTAGTGACACACTGTACAGCCAGTGTTTTGTTGTATAAGAATAAACTTTCAAATAGTACTGTCTGTTTGCTGATATCACATCGGCTTTGGCATTTATAACAGATTGCAGAAGATAATTTTTAACTGATTGATAAGAAATATTTTTTCCAAAAAACATAGCTGATGTGAATTCACAGATTTACCTCTGCAATTAAAACAAGTATATTCAAATAATCATATAATTAGAAAAATACAGTTGAAAGATACCTGAAATGTCATTTATTCCATTCCCCCACCCCCATTGATTCAGGAAGCCCATTATGGCAGCAGGTCAGTTCTGTGGCCATCCAACCTCTGTTAGAAAGGATAATTGTATTTAATTCATGTTGAAATACTTCTCTTGCAAAAACTGGACAGTAAAAAAGGCTGCCAGGAAAAAATGATTCATTTGAAAGGAGGAGAGCTTTGTGGATAACCTGGACCAGCTCAAAGACCAAAAAAAGTAGTTCTTTGATCAAATCAAGCCTGAACTTTCTCTGGAAGCAAAAATGCCAAAACTGAGACTGTTGTCCTTTGGGCACACCATGAGAAGACAAGACTTGGTGGAAAAGGTAATAATACTGGTAAAAGTTGAAGCCAGCAAGAGGTATCAAATATGAGATAGACTGACTTCATAAAGTAAGCAAGCCACAACCTTGAGTTTACAAGAGCTGAATAGGGCATTTTGGAGATCACTCATACATGGGTTAACATAAGTCAGAGGTGACTTGATGGCATGCAATGACATAGGCCCAAGATCATTCATAGCTGGCAAAAATGCCTCACATTTAGATACAATACTATGGGAAAATCCTTTTTTGGCTGGATTTGAGTAGAAAATCCAATCTTTCTTTCTTTCTTTCTTTCTTTCTTTCTTTCTTTCTTTCTTTCTTTCTTTCTTTCTTTCTTTCTTTCTTTCTTTCTTTCTTTCTTCTTTGTGTCTGAAGCACTACAGTATGTATAAAATAATTTTCACTCAATAAGAGGTAACATCCAGGGCATTTGGGGACAGCTAGCACCAAATATTCCACAATACATGTTGAAGGGCATAGAATACACTGGTATGGGTGTAAAGTTCTTCTCTGTACTCAGAAAGAACTGTATTGGTGCAAAACCTGAATTTTCCTATATTCCTTGTCGATCTGCCAACTCCAGTCTAGTAAGTGATCTCTAAGTAATCCAGTTCCCTATGTGACTGGGGGCGAGAGCCATCAGCACTATTTCTGTATTGACTGACTTTAAGAACAAAACAATGGTCATTTGGCAAATGCGGATTGAGACAAGTTCCCTAGGGGACCCAACTGTTCCCTATAAAAACACTCTGGGGACAGTTTGGTTTACTCCAGTGATTATGTCATGCGATCACCAGAAAAAAGTGTGAATCAACCAATACAGACAGTGGACCAAACAGCAAGACAAACGTCTGTCTGATTGAGCCTTGAGTTTTACTTTTCTCTCCCTTTGTCTCACTCTTCTTTAGCAATTCCATGGTTTCCAGGTGCTCAAGTGAGGAGTAACAGCTGAAATCACTGCAAACTTTACCAGAATATGCCATCATCACAAGACACATCCACATAGATCAACAACAGCTTTCATTGTACCTGATTTATTGGGCATAGTGACTGACACTGGTGGAAATTAAAGTCTGAAAAGAAAGGAAGGTTGCAGATTTTTCAGACCCCAGCTCTCATCAGCCTGCGCCATGCAGGTGGGCATGAACCACTGATTTGGCAGTTCATGATGCTTCAGTCATTAGCTCAACAAGTATTATGCAGTTCTGAACCCCGTTTCTTCCCACTCAGAGGCAAGACCTGGAGGAAACAGGGTAGGGAAGCCAGGGTGCCGCCTCTGAGTGGGCACCTGCTAGAGCAGGTGGGGCACCAAACTGCAGAACACCTGTTGGGTCATCAGCCATCTTTACTGAGCCACCATGTCCAACACTCTGGTGTGGTAGGAATCCTAGTCCAGCAACATCTGGAAGGCTACAGCTTCCCCAATAATCTGGAAATTGTCTTGTGATCTGTTCCTACTGAGTCACCTTGTGATGAAAGCTTCGTATGATCAGATTACCATGTGTTAATTGCTGTCATAATACCAATGTACTGGGGTTGGCTGAATCCACCATTAGTGAAAATGGGTAACTGTTACATCAAAGTTAGGTAAGCATGAACTGAGCTGGGACAGAATATGTGGTATGTGATACACAGCAAAATATCCCGAGCCCCACTAGAATATGTATCATTTCAATTCATTTTTCCCAGCATGTAGTGATAACTGTGGAGTCATGTAGTCCTTATCTTGACAGAATTCTAATATCTTTATTCTGCATGATGTTAAAGCCAACTGCAGACATGCGGTAAATCAGTAGATAAGGCCTCTCAGAAAGTTAATAAAAGATTTACACACAAGCTACGGATACCCCTTTCACCCTGTCACTAACATATCTGACTAAAATACTCAGCTGGAACATCCAGAGCATGGTTCCTTAATTTATGGTATTAGTGAGCAGGTTTCAACTAGGATTATTGACAATATTATAATTATTATTCTTTTTGTATATTTAAGATATTCCAATATGAAAATAGAATAATACAACAATTAAGCACACTTAATATAGAGTTTTATAAAGGAATTAGGGCCAGAAAATGCCTTTAAAAACTTCACAGTAAGTATATGTGTCACCACTGAGGCGTTCTGTGCACATAATGACAATAAATTAACAATAAATATACTGTATTGCTCTATCTCAGTTCTATCTCTCCTTCCACCCTTCTACAGTGGATGCAGTCCCATCCCTTGAGCGCTGCCTGGACGCTATGCTGGGGTGGATGAGGGATAATGGACTGAGGCTGAACTCAGACAAGATGGAAATCCTGTGGGTGGACACCCCTAGTGTCAGTGGTCTGGGTGCTTCCCTTTCTTTTGATGGGGGCACTTTTTCCACAAAGGATGAGTGGGCATATTCTTGGACCCAGCACAGTCAATGGAGTCTTAGATAGCGTCTGTGCTCCATACCACCTATTTCCACCTAAGGTGGATTGCCTAGCTGTGTCTACCTTGACACTGGGTCCCTCACCATACTGGTCCATGCAC